CATTGGACATCTCTTACCATTTTTGGGATCTTTCAATCTATAATAGTTTGAACTTTCTTAGGATCCATCATAAGTCCATCATTTGAAATGATGTAACTTAAGAAATCGACTTGAGTAATGTGGAATACATACTTTTCTATCTTGGCATAGAGTCTCGCATCTCTTAATTTTTGTAACACATGACGAACATCAAAATCATATTCTTCTAGATTCTTATAATAGATCAAGATGCCATCTAGATAACAGACCACAAAATCGTCTAATAACTCTCAAAAAATATCATTCATTAGATGTTGAAAAGCTGCTGGTGCATTTATAAGTCCAAAAGGCATAACATTGTATTCAAAATATCCATACCTAGTTCAAAACACAGTCTTCCATTCATTTCCTTTTTTGATGCATATTAGATTGTATGCTCTCCAGAGATCTACTTTTGTATAGATCTTAGCTTGATTCAGCTGATCAAGAAGTCTAGATATTAAAAATAGTGGATACCTGTTCTTAATGGTAATCTTGTTGAGTCCTCGATAATCAACACACATCCGCAATGATCCATCTTTTTTCTTCACAAATAGAATTGGAGCTCCTGTCGGAGATTTAGAATGGCGTATGAAATTCTTGGCTAGATTTTCTTCAATATACTCCTTAAGTTTAGTCAACTCATTTTGTGATAAACTGTAGATTGATCCGAATGGCAGTTGTGCTCCTTTTTGAAGGTCAATTAAAGAATCATAGGGACGATGTTCCGGGAGTGTATCCGCATTCTTTTTTTTGAATACATCTTGAAATTCTTGATATTGGCTTGAAATGCACTTGAAGTCTTTTCATCAGTAGAAACAAGTGTGGCATAAATAATATATGGTGATTCTTTCATAGCAGCATACAAGAAAGCTTTTGCACCAATAAATATGGGTTTAATTGAACTGGACTTATGACTCTCTACTTGATTAACTACAGTGTTAGTTATACTTTTAGAGAAAGTAAGAGTTCGAGAAATCCAATCTATTTGAGGGTTGTATTTTTCTAACCACAATAAATCTAAAATGACTAGATTAGAGGGAGATCTAATGATATTAAATACTACAAAACTATTATGATCATTGATTATTATTTCTATAGGAAGGGTTTTGTGAGTAATATCTCCAGAAGGTAATGGACGACCATCTATGACTTCTACATGAATAGGTTTAGTTTTCTTTACTAAAGATATGCTATGTTTTTTAGTAAATTCTTCATCTAAGAAATACGTTGAGGCTCTTGAATCTAACAAGGCAGAGGCTTTGTAATGTTTAGGTTCTAAAATAACATTTAATGTAAAACAAGGAAAAGGCTCTGAGGAGAGAATAGGACCTTTACTAGATGTTGTGTAAGGTTCCAGCCGCACGGTCCCTATTGTAGCCGGATAAACTCGTTTTTCGACATATTATCTTCTTTGATAGCCATACTCTTCATTTTGTGGTTGCGTCGTTTCTTTGAACAATATTGAGCAGTGTGTTTTGGTTCTCCACAATATAAACATAATCCTTCTTGATGACGATGAGTCTATTCTTGTTCAGTAAGAAATTTAAATCGTACTGCATCAATTTGCATATCTTCTACTTCCTAATGTATGTGTTGAAGAGTTGTTGGTGTTGCCATTGAATTATAGTAATATTGAGGTCTACTTGTACAGTTCTCAGATCAAAATTCAAAAAGGTGATTGTCGTACTTTACAGCAAAGTCAATTGCTTGACTCAATGTTTGAGGATCAGGTAAGTTGAGCATTAATTTTTTTACCTCATATTGTAATCCGTAGAGAAATTGGCTAATAAGTGCAGCATCATCCCACTTGATATCAGTTACAAGTTGTCAAAATTGTGAAGCATACAACGTTACCAATCAATTGCCTTGTCGTAAAATACAATTCTTATTGGTTTCAACACGAATTGCATCATGTTCTCCATACATGGATCGAAACTCCGCCAGAAAAGCCTCTAGATTATCCAATATTGAATCTCATCATTCAAGAAAAGATGAAAACCACGATAGTGTTGAACCTAAAAGAAGTGTATCAATGAATCTAACTTACAATCCTGGAGTTGGATAGCTTTGGGATTGAAGTTCAATCACAAGTTGTACTTGATTGATAAATCCTGGAAACTTGAATCTAGTGCCATCAAATTTCTCGGGTAGGGCAATTCTTGGTTCTCTAACACTGGAAGGACGTTCTTCCATAGGAGAAAGGACATGATTTGGTGCAGATGTTGAAGGAGCTCCAACCATTTCTATATCTTCACTTCTTGCCAATCTTGTTGGTCCTTGTAGTGGTAAATTGAGTTGATGCATCACAAGCATTAACTCCTTCAATTGTTCTTGCATTTGTGCCATTGCACTCTTCATTTCAACAAGTTCTACCATGATAACACTTAGAAAAGAGAAGATGTCTAATATCGCTCAAGACAAATAGAAGAGAGGACTTGAGAACAAAGAAAATAGTAAAGACAATATCAGTTTAGAAGAGGGTAATCGGCAACTTCTAATATGCTTATATCTTATGAAGAAAAAGGGGTAATCCACTCTTAATCAAGATTAGACAAAGCTCTGATATTGTAGGTGTACTCTTGTCAATCTATCAAGGACGAGAACTCGATGAAAAAGCAATTTAGACAAGTGAGCCTTCACTTAAAGAAAGGTAACAAAATATAAATAAATAAGTATGTATATTGAAAGAAAAACTGGGATGGCTATTGCCAAAAAAAAACTACAGACTCTTAAAACTAGACTAGAAGTAAGAAAGGAGTTGACAAGAGTGAAGAAGGCTTCACTCTTGTCTCTATATATACTATCTAACTAGGGGCTACGTGGCGACGTTCTATAGGACCTCCAATATGTGTTGACTTTATAGGACACATGCCTTGACTTACAAGGCAAGTTTTTTTACATGTGGGCCACATAGTTAGCTTGGTCTTCAAGCTAACAATATGTGTGGCACATGGCCAACTTGTTGACCACGTTTCTAATCCAAAAAGTCAATTAAAGACACCTATGAAGTCAAAGCAGCATCTATGAAGCTTTTAGGAAGCTTCCATATCAAATACTATAGAATTAACTTACTTTTATCTACTTTTACTTACTTCTACCTATTTGTATATGTAATTATGAGTATGTCCCTGACAATAACTATCATTCACAACTAAAAATCCATGCACATCCACCCACAAAGTTTACAATGAGATTTAAAAACCTAAATGAAATTAAGATTAGGATTTTTGGCCAAATTTTGGAATGGCTTTGCCCTTCATCAAAAGAGGAGAGAGAGAAAGGGCTTGGAAAACCAAGCATCTTTTATACAATTGAGTATAAGCTTGTAAAAGGGTGGTTGCATCTCCACCCTTGATTTCTAAGATCCCTAATCTATATCTATGGCCTTCATTCACCCAAAAGCTAATTTTGTTACTAAGGCTGATGGCTATTGTAAGTAATCAAAAAAGTAATTTTTGGTAAATCAAACTTCACTATTGTATTTGAAATACCTTTTATGCTACGATTGACAATTCACATGCCTTCATCTATATTTATTTGCAATTTTTATGAAATTTTTTACCTCTAAAGATTTTAGCAATTATTGTAAAATCCTTCAAAAATGAAAATTTCATAGCTCTACTTATATGTTGGAGGAGAAGGTGCTGATCATGTTTCCTTCACTCCATGGAGTGAATTCAATGCCACCATTGCATTTGAAAGCCTCTATTAATTGAAAAAAACTACTTGGCCACTTGAATTTGTTGAAGCTGAATAAAAAACTTCAAAATTGTCATTTCTAAATTTCACTAAATCTTTTAGAAAGTTCTAACTCTAATTCACCCTAAATTATATGAGATGATTGTAGGTGAACTCACAGGCTCTCAATCAACCCTTGTATCAATGACTTATGACCTCTAAATTATTAAAACTAATCAAATTACTTTTCTAATTTTCTAATCCATATTATTTTGGTCATAATTAACCTAACTCAAGGAATCAAGCATAGATTTATACCATCAAAGATTACAATCCTAAATATTAATTAAATCACATTCTATTTATATAAATTCTAATCTTGTTAGAATCTCGATGTCAGGGAGTGGCAATGCAACACATGACCTCATTGTCACATCGCTTCCCTACTTTAGCGTCTCCATTATATTGCTGGTGCCATACTAGCATGGCAATTTGGTCCACATGAATATCATTTGTAATCTTAAAAATATCATAGAAATAATAATAAGAATAATAATATTATTGTAATCTCTGTTGAGATTATTATCTGTGTGGAAATGTGTGGCTATCTATAGGTTTCATTGTAAAAAAGTTTTCCCATAAGTCCTTCCTTTCCAATGTGCTCTAAATTGTGCTCCTCCAAGTCCCAAATAACATTTGGGATTATACTATGACTAAATCCATGGTCCCCAACTCTATTGGTGTGATTCCTACCTAGACGTGATTCTATCATTCTCCTATGCAGCTTGCTCTAATACCATGTTATGCCACACAACAAATAAACACTACAATAAAACAAGCTCAAGTAAGATAAGCTAAAGGGTGAAACTCAAATAACTCTGAAACACCATCACATGAAGTAGAAGGCATAGCTTCTTATACAAAAATAGTGCATCTTGATAACAGTTTGATACCTAGTCACTTGAGTGCATACCCACGAATAAATTGAAACCCAGTCACAGTGGAGGAAGCTTAACCAAGACTAAAATAAATCCATCGCCACACACAACGAATGCAACACTTGGAAACCACACGTGACCATTGACCTTCGGACGCGAGGTAATGTGAGGAAAGACTTATCCATCACCATTTCCCAATGTTTCATTCAAAATCCGTGCTCAAATGCCACATTCACGTATCAAGTGACGACTTATCAAGCTGTCCACATTCACGTACTTGGTTGCAAGAGGGAGGCCAAAAAGAGTCAATCAACACTTGAAATGCAAGTCTCACTGCACAAACGGGTTGTCGCTGACAAAATATCGTATAATCACCCTGGCAAAATTGTCCGATGTGCTCAAGGGCATCAAAGATTTCATTGAACTTTGAAGCTGTCAAAATCGACATGTACAATGTATGGAGGGAGATGTGAGCCACTGTCTACTCTACACCTAACTACAGGGAAGTCTACGTCAGGGGCCAACCTGATCCTCCTCAGGAGCTAACTCTCGCTCTTCTGCTGCAGCGGCCATCAACTCATCGAAGTGTTCCGACTTTCCCAGAATAATCTCGACCTGCCCAACCCAAATCAAATCGTCGACCTCAGTTATTAGGTGTCCTGGATTAACTACAGAATCATCAGACCAACAAAACACCAAACGAGATTTTAAAAGCTCCAATCCACATCAACTGCGAGTTAGCGGCGAGCTGAAACTCCTTGCCACAACTAAAAGTCCACGGATTCCCCACTGGATACGAAATATATCCAAAAACTATACCTTAGCTTTTTGAATGGGCCGACCCCTGGTCTCATCTTTCATGTCCACCGTTGAGGTTAGAATTCCTGCGCACACGAACCAAACACGAGTCCATGTCAAACACACGAAGCTCGCACGCACATCTAGAAAATACAAGGTAACAATCCTGCAATACTGAACACTTCCGAGTGCAAAATCAACCGACAAATCACAGAATATCACATTTATAGCTTCCGCCTATTTACTGCAGCGTTCAATATCTCGTAAGCGCATAATTGGTTCAACTTGAAAATCTAAGATGTGTGACCCTCGAAACACTTACTCTTCTCGATTGCCAAACCGTTGTTCTTTAGTATCTCAGCCACCGTGACCACCGTAGCAATTGCTGCAGGATTGCCGTGAACGTTGAAACATCAGTGGGATCTTGCTGTCTACCTCTAATGTAATCCTCAAGCACGTCAAATTGACATGACAGACGAACGATAGCGCGCACAAACAAACTACATGTAAACCGACATTCAGCACAAAACTAAGAACCACCGACAGTGACGATGACATCCGATGCCACATACATGAAATCGTTTAAAAAACCACAGGGTATTCGAATTCTTATGTACGCACCCATTCCCAAGGCTGACAATTCCACTTCTTCATGCTGTTGCATATATCTCTGCATAACAGAGACACTTGTTGTCAATACATTGCATCTTCTGGAACCATCTGATCACCAATATCCTTCCATATTGCACGAACAGTTTCACCGATCACCTCCTCTGATCCATTCACATCTATGCTGGAGATAAACAACCACGACTATAACAGCAGCACATCCTGTGTATAATCCCTCAAAATAGGGTGATCAGCTGTGAAACAGAATGAGAACTTCGGGAGTTCTCCTAAAGAAGCCGGGTAGGCCAGCATACAGCCGGCACTCTAAGACATGTTATCCCTTACCAAACCATCGGCGCTAAAACTTGCAACATCGTCATATTAAACTACTGCTCAAACTAAGAAATTCAAAGTGATAACTCGGTCTCAAAACCACGGTAAATCCCTAGTTCAGCACTATCTAAAAGCATCAGTGCTAACAAATACAAATGAGTATTTGTATTTGTATTTGTTACAAAACAATTCGCACGTATTAGTAGCTAGGAGGGGCTGCAAACATAGACCACGTAAACCTTCAACCAGAAACACGCGCACTAGTACTCCACAGAGATGCTTTGGACAGACCACGTTCTGCCCTCGCCCTGACTCGTGTTCCGAAAGAAAGAACACACTCGAGGTTGGATGTGCAGCGCATCTATACAAATAGTCTGAAGTAGGTTCGAACTTGGCGAACTAGGAAAAGCATTACCCTCTGCGTCTACTGGCTGCGACTAACATCCTCCTAAATGTGAATCTCGTGCACCTCCGCACGACGAAACTCAAACCCCGTCTCAGACGCCAAGAATAAATACGCCTCAAGCTCCAACCACCATTACTTACGCACTATCTCCCGAACTAAGTTGCAACCATTCCACCTCATAAAGGGGCAGATGACCACCGAGTTCACATAGCTCTAAATCAATGACATTTATACCGATCGTCTTCAATCTGCCATTGAAGGTTCCAGCAGTCGACAAAACCGACCAGAATCACATGCCGAGGTTGGAGCCTGTGAAAATGGGACGTTGCTACTCAAATCTAAAAAGTATACGATCGATCCACGCCATCCCCGACCGTGAAAGACCGGTCGGAAAAACACAACGAAGATGTCAACTGGTTACCTTCGCAAGGTTGACATAAAAGAATAATGGTTTCTTGGTGTTCGAAACTTGAATCCGGTTCTTCTTGTGCGCATCATACACGCTCATATCAGCCACCCCTTCTGTTATTTCCTCCATCTTCAACCGACACAGAAAGCGTTCCCTTCAAAAACCAGTGCTAAACTGAAAAATGCGCTTCCACAGAAAGCTACTTCACACCCCCTGCATCCAACCACATACTCTGATTAGTGACCTCAAAACTCCATAGCCATGTTCAACGCTCCGACATGGAGCGGAGACGCAACTTCCATAACCACCTCAACTTCACAGGATGTCAAAAATCGGTAAGAACCGGGTCACGTAGATGTTAATTCCAGCGGCACGGCCATGTCCAGAGTCATCACACACTATCATGCCACATGTCCATACGCTACCGATTCCCTCAATGCCAACGCTTGAGCATTCGAGGCGCCGGAAACGCCCTGAAAAACTTAACATGAACTAGGAACACCACAAGATCGAACCACAAATCCTTGATGTGTGAGATTCGCTTCTCCTTGTTCCAGTTGAGTTACCGATTCAATCCATTTAAAATACTACGCCAAATTCAATCCCTCCAAAAGCAACCAAGACAAGGCTCAAGCTCGCACTTCACTGAAGCAACTTCGGCAACGTAGTCATGCCATCATGACCTTGGCTCGGGATGCTTTCCCACACAAGCTCGCTCATCGTCAAGCTACAAAGAACCGACCAAGGTACAACATCAACGAACACAAACGTTTTATATCCCGCTTAATGAGCTTGGATCCCGTTCTCCGTAAAAACTATACTCTTCCTTCGCAGAAACTTAACCTCGTAACCCTTAAATGACACCCTTCGCCAGGATTGAGTGACATGCGGCCAGAAGCGACCTGCGATTGCACTACGACAATTGTGATCAACATATGCCCGGAACTCGACCACCTACAACGCCCTCTCATGCGCTTCCGTCAAATTTTCAACCGAAAATATCAAAATGGAGGCGGCAACATGATCAACAGTGAGGTTCGGTCCTTCACGTCAGATTTCACGTTCTCGACACCAGCGTGGTCGGCTCAAGGAATCGTTCGGCTCAAAAACTATGAATATTAAAATAACAATAATAATAACGTATATATATATATATATATATATATATATATATATATCTGCGTGCCATCCCGACTCAGAATCGAAAGCCTTGCGAAAAGGCTACACCCCGACCCGACACATCATAGTTGGAGACTCTCGTGTACAGCAGGCAATAGCAAGCGTGCGCGTTTTGAACAAGATATTACGCCTTTCTCGCCAAAGAAGCATCTCGAACTTCTAACAAGCGGCAAGAACATTGCACCCTCCAATCACTCGCACATTCAGCCTATCATCGAGTTGTGCTAATATTGCTATGTAAGTCGGCACCTCGTTCCTGTTGCAAAACAAGTTGCATTGCGCAGACATTGCATGGATAACTCTCGTCTCACCGCTACATCCTTCGCCAGCAAAATACCTAGCCTCTCCAGAACTCCCTACACACCAAGCTCTTCCCAAACGCATATCCCCCGAGCCTGAACCACCTGCATAACCACGTTATCCCAAAACTGCCCGCAAGCCAAGTGCCTCCTCTCCCCGGGCACACATGGAACCTCCCCCACACGCACCAAGACGCTGCG